TGGTAATAGAAAAAAAAAAGTCATGAGAAAGTACTGTGTTTTATAAAAGAGAAACTAAAAAGTCTCATGAGATTTCCATTGAGGAAAAGAAGCTTAAGGAAATGAACTAACTTGCTCAAGCTCCCACACCTTGTAACTGTTAGAGCTGAAATTTATTTCTCTTACATTTGATATCAGATGGATTAAATGGAAGAACTGAGATTCAAGCCTAGTTCAGGATGGTACAAAAGCTTGTGGTCTACTACACTACACCATGTTGTCTCCCATAGGTTACTGCTTTAGTTATGAGAGAGGCAAATGAACCTGTACTAGGTTATCGGCAATGAAAATAAAAAGACTCCTATGGATGAGGACAGTGGTAGGGGGTAAGGGCATGGGGTGGGGTGGGAACCTGGTGGAGGGGAGATATGGTGGAAAAAAGAGGAACATCTGTAATAATCTGAACAATAAAAGATTTATTAATTTAAAAAAAAAAGAAAATAAAAAGACTAAGGTGGTAAAGGCAAGAAATAAATGCAGGACCCACAATTAGCATGATGTGGCAACTACCTAAATGTGGAAAGAAAGGAAAAGAGTGGAATTAAAAATAGCTTAATCTCTGAGCCTTGGTAATTACAAAAAAAAAACAATGATACTATTAACAGGATCAAGGATCTCAGGAAAAGAGGCAGTTCTTATTCAGTGAGAGCTCTAATCCTTCAAAACTCTGCTCTCATGTCATCTCAATGTAAGTTTTTCTGACATCCTCAGGTACATTATACAGTATTTTTAAATATTTTTTTTTATTGATTTCAGAGAGGAAGGGAGAAGGGAGAGAGAGAAACATCAATGATGAGAGAGAATTATTGACCCACTGCTTCCTGCATGCCCCCTACTGGGAATCAAGCCCACAATCCGGGCATGTGCCCTTGACTGGAATCGAACCCGGGAACCTTCAGTTCACAGGTTGATGCTCTATCCACTGAACCAAATGGGCTAGGGCCATTATACAGTATTTTATATTTCAACAACAACAATAATAATGACGATAATAATGATAGCTAACATTTTTTAAATGCAGGCTGAGTGCCAAGCACGTGCTAGGTTCCTTTTACTCTTCAAAATAACCATGTGAAGTAAGTGCTATTATTAACCCCATTTTACAGATGAGGAAACTGGGGCTTACAGAGTTTTAAGATTACAGATATTAAATGGTAGATCAAGAATTCAGCCTAGCCGGCATGGCTCAGTGGTTGAGCTTCAACCTATGAATCAGGAGGTCACAGTTCAATTCCCCTTCGGGGCACATGCCTGAGTTGCAGGCTCAATCCCCCATGTCGGGTATGCAGGAGGCAGCCAATCAATGATTCTCTCTCATCATTGATGTTTCTCTCTCTTCCTCTCTGAAATCAATAAAAAAATTTTTTTTTAAAAAGAATTGAATTCAGAGACAGCACTCTTACCAAAGGCAGGACAGCGCAATATATGAGTCCAGGAAATGTCACCAAACTGGCTCAGTTTGAATCCTGCTCTGCCATTTACTAGCTGGGTGGCCTTGGGCAAATTATTGTGCTTCAGTTTCACCATCACCATTTGCCTCCCAGTATTGTTGTGAGGTTACTTAAATGAGTTCATATGCATAAAGCATTTACAAAAGGGCATAGTACATCGTAAATATTAATCATTGCACTCACACCTCTGTTTTCTCTATCTCTGTCTCTCTCAATTATTAGAACTTTATTTCCCGCTGAACTGTGAGTTCCTTTAGGACAGGAAGTGTGTCTGTTTCATTTTCCTATCCCCAGCACCTAGCACCATGTCTGCCCCACAGTAGGCCCTCAGCAAGCATTTGTTGCCTGGATGGCATTATTCAAGCAGCCTGAAATTCCATCTCTGAGTCTTGGAGACGAGAGGTGAGTGGAAAAATAGGTCTGAGTCCCACACATAGACATTTGAACCTGACAACAGGCAGAACTGCTATGGAAGAGGTCTTGGAGGGAAAAGAAATACGACACCAGAGAAAGATTGACAGCAGGAAATGAAAGGAGACAGAAAAACAGCTCTGGAGGATTTACTTTCAAGGAAGCCATGAAAAAAAACGAGTTCAAGGGAATTTCGCTGAGTCCAGATGAAAGGCTGTCTTAAAGGTGAAGTATGAAAATTTGTGGTTAGCAAGCAGCTGACTCTGAGGTTTAAATGTGTGAGGTTTTTTTGTTTTTGTTTTTTTAAGACTCAGAGGAAGGAAATAACAGTCATTGCGTAATTTCTAAAGCTTGGCAGGCTTTCAAATGTAGGTCTCTACTGTATCTACCTTGCCCGGAAAGTTGGGAGAGCGAGGGAGCATTCAAGATCACAAATGAAAAGGGGGATCGGGCTCTCCAAGGTGCTACTTCTCAACTAAATCCTAATGCAGTTCAGTTCTATCTTCACTCACAATGTGAAATAGAAAAATCAAATGAAATGTGTATTTTTGCCCTTCGTTATTTTGTTTAGGCTGGTAAAGCAGGATTGATGATGTTACTGTCAGGTAGACACAATTATCAGCAGCAGGTTTTTATCTGAAATATCTCCTTCATTACACTTGAATCTTCATTGTGTTCTCCTACCCACGGAGACTGAATAACCGGTTTTCCGAGTTTTTCCTGATACAGTTTTGGTTATTACAAACGACTTGGGATCCCTACTCCTCTTTAAAAGAAGGTCAAGAAAAAGGAATCGAGATCAATATTTGAGAATGGCATTTTTATAAAAACAGGTAGGCAACACACACGTTTTCAAAAACGAGTTATTCTTTTAAAAATTTTGAGGAATAAAAAGCCCTATGTGGTCAAATGGGCCCTCGGGAATCCACCAAACAAGATACAAATATACTTTCACAAACACAATCTTAGGGTGCCCCCCCACACACACACTGTTAACTGGAGAAAAATAGACCCTGTACAGTTGCCTGAGGAACTAAACCAAGTACCTTTTTATTTTGATTTCAGAGAGGAAGGGAGAAGGAGGGAGAGAGAGAAACATCAATGATGAGAGAGAATCATCCATCAGCTGCCTCCTGCACGCCCCACACTGGGGATTGAGCCCACAACCCAGGCATGGCCCCCTGACCGGGAATCAAACTGTGACCTCACCCTCTGAGAGGAGTTTTCCATAGTTAAGTGCCGAGCCCCTCCCTGTTCAAGGCTCTACTACAGGATCTAGCACAGTGAGCACCTTTCCCAAGTCGCTCGGCACCCTAGGGCTCAAACGTTCTTTTCTGTAAACTAAGGAGGAAAGTGTGGTGTGTGTGTGTGTGTGTGTGTGTGTGTGTGGTGTGTGTGGTGCGTGTCGCTCTGTGTGTGTGTGGTGTGCATGTGGTGCATGTCTCTGTGTGTCTATGTGTGTGTATGAGTAGTGTGTGTGTGTGTGGTATGTACTAGTATGTCTGTGTCTGTGTGTCTGTATGTGTGGTGGGTATTTTTGTGTGTGTCTGTCTCTGTGTCTGTGTGGTGTGTGTGGTGCGTGTCTCTGTGTGTGTGTCTGTGTGTGGTGGGTATGATTGTGTGTGTGTGTGGGTGGTGTGTGTGTGTGGTGTGTATGTATGAGTGGTGTGTGTCTGTGGTGTGTGGTGTATTCTGTTTCTGTGTGTCTGTGTGTGTATGACTATGTGGATGGTGGGTATGATTGTGTGGTGTGTGTGGTGTGTATGTGTGTGTGGTGTGTATGTGTGTGTGGTGTGTATGTATGAGTGGTGTGTGTCTGCGGTGTGTGGTGTATTCTGTTTCTGTGTGTCTGTGTGTGTATGACTATGTGGATGGTGGGTATGATTGTGTGTGTGTCTGGGTGGTGTGTATGTGTGGTGTGTATGTATGAGTGGTGTGTGTCTGCGGTGTGTGGTGTATTCTGTTTCTGTGTGTCTGTGTGTGTATGACTGTGTGTGTGGTGTGTGTGTGGGTATGATTGTGTCTGTGTGTGTGTGGTGTCTATGTGTGTCTCCGTGTCTGTGGTGTGTGTGTGTGTGTGTCTCAGTGTCTGTGTGTGTCTCCGTGTGTGTCTATGTGTGTCTCAGTGTCTGTGTGTCTCCATGTGTGTGTGTGTCTATGTGTGTCTCAGTGTCTGTGTGTGTGTGGTGTGTGTGTGTGTCTATGTGTGTCTCCATGTGTGTGTGTCTGTGTGTGTGGTCTCTGTGTGTGTGGTGTCTGTGTGTGGTGGGTATGATTGTGTGTGTCTCTGTGTGTGTGTCTGTCTCTGTGTGTGTGGCTGTCTCTGTGTGTGTGGCTGTCTCTGTGTGTGTGGCTGTCTCTGTGTGTGTGGCTGTCTCTGTGTGTGTGGCTGTCTCTGTGTGTGTGGCTGTCTCTGTGTGTGTGGCTGTCTCTGTGTGTGTGGCTGTCTCTGTGTGTGTGGCTGTCTCTGTGTGTGTGGCTGTCTCTGTGTGTGTGGCTGTCTCTGTGTGTGTGGCTGTCTCTGTGTGTGTGGCTGTCTCTGTGTGTGTGGCTGTCTCTGTGTGTGTGGCTGTCTCTGTGTGTGTGTCTGTCTCTGTGTGTATGTGGTCTCTGTGTGTGTGGTGTCTGTGTGTGTATGAAAGTACTGGAAGCGCTGGCAAGCTCCCTTCCAGCTCTCAGGTCATTTCATGTTTCTCCCTTCCTTCCTGCTACTTCCCTCGAGAGGAACTTGTGGATGAATCCTCTGGATTAATACAGACAAACAGAGACGGCAGACGGCCTCGCTCACCGTCTGCGCCGGAGAGCAGGGTGTCTGAGGGCTCGGCACCTGCCCGCCAGCCCCGCCCACGACCGTCC